TTTTTTTTTTTTTTTTATATTATCTACGTAAGCAGGGTACTGTGCTGTATGCTCCTCTATTCACTAGTTGGCAGCACTTATATACTCACCACCTGTCTCTTTTCCCATTGTCAGCCTCCTGTATGTCCCTGCTGTTCTTGCCAGAGCCTATTCTTAGGTCCCTGGAATCCAAATGAGAACACTGTCATTTTAAAATCCAAAACGGCCACCACTTGTAAAAATTCAAAATGGCTGTGCCCTCAGTCACTTTAAATATCCAAAATGGATGCACCCTCTGGACAACGGAAAGTCCACAGCTCAGGTTGTCTCCCTCCTTGCTGTTTCCCTTCCTAGTCATAGGCCACCAGCGCAGTCAGCCTTGCAGCCCTTGGCGATCAGGGCTGATCCTTAGGTTAATTCTGAGGTCCCAACACCACTTGGAAACATTCAGGCTGTTGGTCCCATCAGAGTAATTGACAGTCCACTCACTGCTCCATCTCCATACTCACTGTTTTCATTCACGTTTTTCCACTAGTTGGTGCCTAATCCACTTCTGTATACTTCCTTTCAAAGCTTCGGGCTCCAGGATTATCATCTGTATCTCTGTCAATTGGTTTCTTTTTTCTTTTATGAAGAGGGTCTGTGTAGCTTGTTTGCCTATTCCTCCATGTTACCGGAAGTCCTAATTGTAATTCTTAATGTAGATTTTCCACTGTATTACTGGTGTGCTGGTAGTAAAACATGTCATCATACCTAGAAGTTATAAATCTGGCAAGATGATTATGTCTCAAGAAGGTGGAGACTGCCTGGCAAACAGTCATTTGTAGCTGTACCTGTAATATTAGAACACTTGGGCAATTCTACCTTGAAGAATGAATTTACTGGGCAGAGATGAAATACAGTGTTAAGACGTTAGTGGAAATGACCTAGCCCACATACACTTCTTAGGAATGATGCCAAAATATCCATTCTACCAGATAATCCCATCCTCAAGGCTTCCACAAAAAGTTGTACAAGGTATATACTGCATTATTCTATGAAGAAGTCCTGCTTCATCATCCTGCCCACAGAGTCCATTTCATTTTCTGAAGAATCTGAAATAAGAGATACAATGACTGACGCAAGCAGTGGTTACTGGAGTTGTGAGGTTCCACAGAGGTGGGTTGAGTTTGTACCGTGAGAGCTGAAAGGCAAAAATCATGATAGGCTATATAGGGCTGATAAGCCACCTGATGTAGGGAAGCAAATATGAAGTGGCCATGGGTCACAACTGGTTTGGCTTTTTAAAACAAAAACTGGTGGTAGTGGGGCAGGTAAGAGAAACCAGTTCACAGGGAGAGATAAAACAAATGCATAGGTGAGTGTGTTTGAGAGAGGAAGAGGGAGATAGAAGGAGAGAGATGGAGGAAAAGGGAGAACAGAAAATAAGGAGGAAGGGAGAGGGACAGAACTAGACAAGGAGAGAAGTAGATCCAGAGCCAGTCAAACAAATAGAGAAAAAGATCAGCTATTTCTAGCTCCCACAATGTTCACCTATACTTCCTGCAATTAAATTCCAGATTTCTAATTCTTTTTAACATTTCCTGTTTTACAGACTATTTTAGGTGGATTTCTGATTCTTGTTATCAAATAATTCTTGACCTAAACAGCTACTCTATGAACAATTTGCTACATAACTGTAGCTGCATTTTTTAGATGTTTAAGCTGCCACTCTGGCAATTATATACTGCCAGCATCACTGTGGCAATGTAAAAAAGGTGAGGTTCTCAAAGAAGAGGCACTATAATTTGTCTGTAATGTTTTAACTATGGCCCAAAGACAGCTGGTTTTATACAACAGTTACAGCTAACATTTACCCAGCACCTCCCTTGGATCAGACGTGCTTCAAAGGCTGGGCATACATTAATTCACCCCTGTTCTTTATAACAACCAATGAAGTAGGATCTATTATTACCACCCCCACATTACAGACAAGAAAAACAAAGCACAAAAAGAGATTAAGTAACTTGCTCAAGGTCACATAGTAGGGGATAAAACTGGAATTTATGTACAAAATAATCCATTGTTTATTTATATTAAAATTGTCTGACACTTGAAGAAAAATTTTAACATTTTTACATTTAAATTTCATTTCAGTTAATTTTTTGTTGAATGATTTTTACATGCAACGTACTGATTTAACCTAATAAATTGGTAAACTGGTTATAAGTCCTTTAAATGTCACTATCCAAAATAAATCTTCCTTTCTGTGGTGTACACACACACACACACACACACACACATACAAACTACTTTCAAATTAAGTTTTTCAATTTCCAAAATACCTCCTTTATAACAGAAGGGAAAAACATTCTGCAATACTATTTTCAATGCATTCACTATTTCTAAACTCAATGGAATATTTGAAGATTACTTGCTACAAGTTGGACTCATTCAAAAATAAACCTTGACTCCACAAGGAAGTCTACACTGATAACTACATATCCATTTAATTAATTATAGTATAAGTTACACATGTGTATAAAAAAGGGAAAATAACAAGGATGAGAGGAGCTTTTCATGGAAGGTGGTGAGTTGCCATGGATTCTGCTTCTCTTGATTTTCTGAGCAGGGCTTGTTTGAGGGCACTAATTTTCTCATCAAGTTCAGCCAGTGAATAGTTCTGCTGCAAACAGTAAGAACACAAACTGCTGAATAAGACTCTGAAATGTCTTAATGTAGGTAAAGTGCAAAATGAACTATAAATAAATATTTAAAACATCCAACAGCAAGGTAAAATGTTTTTCCTCTCCCTCATAAGAATTATTTTTAGGTTGAACAACTATATATGATGACCACATCCTAAATGCAAAAGCTCAAAAACATTTTTCTTTCCTAACAACTAAAGTTTTCCTGGACCTTTTGTATTTTACAAAAGATCAGAAAACCTTTCTTTTAAACTGATTATTCCCATAATCAACAGTGAAAAAAAAAAAATGAAATCTTTAGGTTAGTTTAACTGCTTAAAATATGTGGACACTCTCTGTTGGTAGATCAACTTCAATCAAGTGCTTCTCCTGAACAAAAATGGCTGTGCTCAAAAATTTACAATAAAAAAATAAGTAATATACTAGCTCAAAAAATAACCCAGGCAAGAGCAATTTAAAAACCTTTTCCCCAATATTAGAAAATTTTATTAATGTGAAAGGTATAAAACTTATCAAACTATTTTTCAGAAATCAAAATAAAAATGCAGTAACTTTACTTACTTGAGGTGGCTGAACTTTTCTTCTTTTTCCAGAAAAGTTCTAGATTAAAAGTGAAAACAAGGGTAAGTAATCAATGCTTAGCAAGTTTAAGCACCAATTTATAGAATACTGCACAAAATATGGAGAGCCTTTGAGGATGCTGACAGAAACAAAGCCCACAAATTTACCAAGCACTGTTTGTAGCCAACATCTATCTGCTTATATCCTGATAATTATTAGCCTCCAAAGGCATTTGACTGCTAACCAGAAGGCTGGCGGTTCAATACCACCAGCCACTCTTCAGAAGGAAGATGGGGCAATCTACTTCTGTAGTGATACTGCCTTGGAAACCTAAGGAAGGGTCACTAAGAGTCAGATCTGACTCGACGGCAGTGAGTTTGGTTTTTGGCTTAAAAATGATAATATTAAAAGTATGTAGTAGTAGCATTACAGTAAATGCTGTTCCTAGTAACATGTAATTTTCAAATAATTATCAGTGTCTAATGGGGCTAGGGGAGCTCTGGTAGCATAGTGGCTAAGACACTTGCCTGCTAACCAGATGGCTGGCGGTTCAAACCCACCAGCCACTCCTAGGAAGGTTGGGCAATCCTACTTCCGTAATGATACTGCCTTGGAAACCCAAGGAGGGGTCGCTATGAGTCGGGTTTGACTCGACGGCACATAACAACAACAACAACAACAACAATGGGGCTAGGTGACTGTGCAAAGAGGAGCTCTGGGGATTTTTTTTACTTAGTTTCCCTCTTTTTTATAACCATTTTATCCTAGTATATGAATATGCAAGCAGCAACAAAGGAAAATAGAACTTGGTACACCAGGCCAAAAGGTGAAAACAGATGCTCCCAGTACACAGACCTCTGACTATAATGGATATTGTGGTTACCTATGCAAACAGCTACCTAAATGCTGATCCTACTTTAAGCAACTTAACAGAATGGGCATGAGTCCAATTCTGGTGAATCAGTAAGGAGAGATCTGCTGGAGTGGAGCTTCTGGAAGAAGTTTCCTCACTCCTGAGAAAGCCCTCAAAAGAGATAGTTTCCCTTCCTCTGGACACAGCTGAATCATGGACAGGACACCTGAAAGTACTGTAGTTGTCTTGTCATCTGCCTGGAGAAGAAGTCAACACCAAGCAGAACTCACAGGGAAAAGAATCCAAGTCTTTAACAATCACAATTTAGCCAATGAATCAATAAACCTTGAAGACTGCACTGTCACTGGACTGTCTATTTTATAATTTCCATAGTGCTTAAGCCAATTTGAATTCAAATTATATTACTTGAAGCTGACCACATCTCAATGACAAGCTGCTGAACCTTTTAAAACTTGATCTAATGAGTTCTAGACAGTGTTCTCAGTTTCACACTACCACAAGCTTCTGAGTGGCAAATTAGTATATTTAGATACAGAAGCTAGGTGGCAAAATCTTCTCATGAACATTTCTAACCACTGAGATATGAAAGAAGTTTATTAAAACTCACATGTACCTATGTGTCAAAAGCTGATTCAAGACTATCAAGGTATTCCTCTTATCAATATTGTAATAATCAGGAAATCATTAAGTCTTGGAATTATTAAACATGGAAAAACAGAGCTTAAACAAATACTTTCCTTTCTTTGTAACCTGATTTGGATATGTGATGGGACCCAGGGGCAGGTAAGGGGGTTTATGTTTAAATTGGTCCCTACTCAGTTTCCTTCCTTCCAAGGAGGTGGCTTTTTATACACTCAATGAAAATATACTTTCCCTTTGCTCTCTTAACAGTTTAACCCCCAAACTATTGACAGTTCCTTGTCATTAAACAATCAGATTATTACTGGACTGTGAAGCCAAAGAAAGAAATCTCAGAATGAGAAAAATGAGGCCATCAGTAACTTAGCAAGTGTGATCTTTGAGGTTTATTTCAGAGCTAAGCAGATATTTAAACACATCTACTGTGGATATAGGAGCTCTGGTGGCATAGTGCCTAAAGCACTTGACTGCTAACCAGCAGGCTGGCGGTTCAAACCCACCAGCCACTCCTTGAGGACTTCCAGTGATAAACTGCTTAATGTGACCTTCCTGGTCCTCAAAATGAGCATACGTCTAACGTTCCAGCCTGATGCACCTGTTTACCTCATGCTTCAGGCCCACCATGCACATTCACACACAGACGGACCTGTGTTCATGATGTTGATTTGGCCATTAGTGCTTCCCTTCCCTTTTACTTCCCCTTTAGAATTAGGAGTTACCATTATAGATTAGAGTGAAGATGTCATCTGTTCAGTTCAAAAATCCAATAATTAACTATCAGCCAAGTCCTATCCATTTATTTCCACATTTATTAGGTGACTACTAAATTCTGTGTGTTCAAAGAAAATAAGATACAGCTCCTACCCTTAAGAGGTTCAAAACGTAGTGTGAAAAACAAATGTATAAACATATAATTTTAAGTGGTGAACAAAGGACTGTGGAAATATATTTGTGAAACATGTAATACTTACTATTTTCAAGTGTCATAATTTACAGTCAGTAATTCTTTGGAAATACAAGGATCATAAGCTTTAAATGGTCTGTTAGGTCATGTCCTTAAAATACTGAAAACACTACCACGTTCAAATCTCTATTTAATGTAAAGCTACATAGAATACATTAAAAGATACAATTATTAACCTGCATCATGATTCCTGTCTTGTTTTATATACTTTTCTTTTTTTTTAGTTTCATAAAATTAAAAGAATTTTAGTCTGGTTTTGTTTTATGAACTATATATAACTTGTATCTTTTCACTTTAATGTTTCTCTTTTACACACACACACACACACACACACACACACACATATATAAAAACAAACAAACTCACTGCCGTCGAGTCGATCCTGACTGACAGTGACCCCTCCTTGGATTTCCAAGGCGGTATCTCTAAGGAAGTAGATTGCCCCATCTTCCTTCCAAGGAGTGGCTGGTGGGTTTGAACCGCCAGCCTTCTGGTCAGCAGTCAAATGCCTTAGGCGCTACAACACCAGAGCTTTTTTCATATATCATGCTTCAATGTTCCCCATGATGACAAACCTCTATCCAACTCAGAAGCTCTCCCATATTTACAATGTATATATGTGAATCTGGATAAACACCTTTTAATTAAAAATCTTCTCAGAGTTGAGAAGTTCAATTCTGAATAAAAGTTCAATCTTTAAAAAATTTAAAGGGCCCAACTTTCCTTACTTCCTAACTTTAGAAGCTAGAGGACTGCGCTGCATGTGTAGTCTCTTCTGTACACGTCTGAAGCACACAGAGTACTATGCAATTACCATGCATGCACTCCCTGCCTATGAGAAGGGCAAGAGTTCTGAACAATGCGCTATGTCCTCTACAGGGTGCGTATTCAACTCCTCTTGTGTCCAAGGACAATCCTAGAGTTTATTCTATTCCAAGCAAGGAGTATAGCTCATTCATTCATTACAGAAAGATGAGGACAAAATCTCCTTTCACTTTGGGCCAATGGTCGTATATACTTATACATCTTAATGATAGTCAGTGTGAATATTTAAATGTTTCCAGTGTTTTGTGTTCCCTTGTACTCACTATTAATTTGGATATGTCACTTCTAATACTCCAGAAGTGAGTTTTCTAATCTAATGTATCTGAGCAGTTTTAACAGATATGGAAATACTTAAAAAAATCAAACACACACTCATTTTATCATAGACTGTCATCATCCATCCTTTTCTGAATGTGTAATAATATCCCAGACAAGTCTATTTACATTTATAAAGCTTCCTGCCCCTAAAGTTAGGCATCACCAAGATTCAGACTTCAGACCTCCGAAAGCCTCGGTGTTCTTACCCACTATCTACTAATTATCTACCAATGACTCTCCCAATTATTCCAGTGGCAGTCACAAATCTCTGGTATTTCTATCTGCTTATCCTGGTATGAGTTCGATTCACATTTCCTGCGAAATACTTGCCCCCTCCAGATTTTATTTCTGTCAATGATGGCATCTGATGATATCACTTTCCCAACAGGAAACTGGACTCATCCTTGCTCCTTCTCTCTTTCCATACCCAATTGTTGTTGTTGTTTTGTGCCGTCAAGTCGGACCTGACTCATAACAACCCCTCCTTGGGTCTCCAAGGCAGTATCACTATGGAAGTAGATTGCCCCATCTTCCTTCTGAGGAGTGGCTGGTGGGTTTGAACCGCCAGCCTTCTGGTTAGCAGTCAAGTGCCTTAGGCACTATGCCAGCAGAGCTCCTCCACATATCCAATTAGTCATCATTATTTTTCAAATTTTCTTTCCTATGATTTCTTGCACTCATCTTTTCTATTCCTACTTTCATGCTCCAATTCAGGATCTCACTTCACATGTACACTAGTTTAATATTGTGTCCTTGTCCTTACTCTCTCCCTTTCATTTATCTCCCACACTAGTATTAGATAAATCTTTCTCAACAGTTTTCACAAGACCTGTCCCTGCTCAAAAGCTTTCAATAGTTCCCCTTGCCTGGAGAACAGACTTTAACTTCTCAACATAGCATAAAAGTCCTCTAAAATCTAACTACTACTACTACCTCTTTAATCAAACACTCTATCCTGTGTGTAACAGATCCCCAAAAAAATAAGATTATAACTTGAAGGTCATGTTCTTTTGTTAACACAAAATATAGTGATAGTTTTATGTTAAGCTTTCATAAATAGAAAAGGCATTTAACAAGGTAAAAACTAAACTAGAAAAATAAGTTTTCCTAAAGAGCTTGAATGTAAAAAACTTAATGGTAGACTGTTGTGGGAAAAGCCATAAAATCTTTATAAAGTTTTTGAAGACAATACTTTTAAAGAGTAATAAAATCCTAAAAGTGGAAAGACATTTGTAATTATTTAGTATAACTAACATATTTTCTAAAATTAAATAAGTGAAGACCAGAGGAATTGAATGACTTACCCATATTATATGGCTATTTCACAGATGATTTTGGAAACTAAATAAATGAAAATACCTAATACTTTACTATTTACTTATTGTGCTAAGTGCCTGATTAATATTATCTCATTTAATTCTTATTTCAGTTCTTAGTACTTTCATAAGCCTAATTTTACATATCAGCAGAGAAATCACTAAAATCCTTTCTGAGTTTTTGATGTTTAGGACTATAAATGTAGCACTGGGAAAATCTGCTGCAAAAGACCTTTTTAAAGTGCTGAAGAGCAAAGATGTCTCTTTGGGGACTAAGTGTACCTAACCCAAACGATAGTATTTTCAATCGCTTCATATACATGTGAGAGCTAGACAATGAATAAGGAAGACTGAAGAAGAGTAGATGTTTTTGAGCTGTGGTACTGGCAAAGAATACTGACAGTACCATGGACTGCCAAAAGAACTAACAAATCTGTCCTGGAAGAAGTGCAGCCAGAACACTCTTTGGAATCAAGAATGGCTTGACTTACTTTGGTCAGGCTGTCAGAAGGGACCATTCCCTGGAGAAGGGTATCATGTGGTAAAGTGGAAGTCAATGAAAAATAAGAAGGCCCTCAATGAGATGTATTGACATGGTGGCTGCAATGGTGGGTTCAGGTATAGCAAGGATTGTGAGGCTGGCATAGGACTAGGCTTATGTATGTTGTACATAACATCACTATGAGCCAGAGACGACTCAACGGCACCTAACAGGACTCTTATGTGACTGACCTTCTTCCTCTGGAAATACTTCTTTTCTGTACCTCACTCCAATCTCTAATTTTGAAAAGGTTGTTGCTACATCTAAAATGAGTTTTAAGTACAATCTGCCAGTTGACTTAACATAATAATTCCATGGATCCGACTCATAGTGACCCCTCCTTGGGTTTCCAAGGCAGTATCACTACGGAAAAAGATTGCCTAACCTCCCTTCCGAAGAGTGGCTGGTGGATTTGAACTGCCAGCCTTCTGGTTAGCAGTCTAATGCCTTAGGCACTAGGCCACCCGAGCTCCAGGGAAAGTACTTTCCATAATTTTTCATAAAAGTTTTACTAAAAATCTCAGTTTTACATTTTGGTTCTAACTTTTTTTTTTTTTTTAAATCTCAGAAAAGGCAGGTGTTACATATCAGGAGACTGAGGAAAAGAACACAATTAGCTCAAGACAGCTTGTCTAAAAATTGCTGCCATGCCAAAGAAGATACTTACTAGCCCAATGTATGTCTTAACGCCCTTGGAAAAAGAGGTAAGAATGAATTAATGAATGAATAAAAGAAAAAAAAATGCTAGAGTTGAGGAATTAGACAAATACAGATCAGTCTTTCAAAAAGTGGTGGTTAAGGTAAAGAATGGGAGCTCTGGTAGCTTAGTGCCTAAGGCACCTGACTGCTAACCAGAAGGCTGGCAGTTCAAACCCACCAGCCACTTCTCAGAAGGAAGGCTGGGTAATCTACTTCCGTAGCGATACTGCCTCGGAAAGCCAAGGAGGGGTCCTATGAGTCGGGTCCGACTCCATGGAACATAACAACAACAACAAGGTAAAGAATAAGGTAGGGTGCAGCTGGAAGTGTTTGATTAGTATCTGGAAATACGAACACACGTATGAGCTGAGGGAAGAAGTCTGTGAAGAGAGAGGGATTAGAGACACAAGAGGTAACTGACTGAGCAAGGTCTCAGAGGAAGCTTTTGTTTTACAAGACAGCCAGTTTACAGAGACAGGACTCAGGCCATGAAAATGGCTTAATTTTCAGAATTTGGATAATGTACAAAAAAAGTACCCCTACTTGAAAAACCAAGTTTCTAATACAGTATTCATAATCAGAATTTTCAAAGAACTAGATGGTCTCCTTGCATGAGATTGTGTTCACTCACCTTTAAATTATTAAAACAGTATTTTGCACACAGATCAATGAGTAACATGCTACCAGAGCTCCCTGTTATACAATGTTGTTATTAGCCATTGAGTCAGACCCGACTCATAGTGACCCCTCCTTGGGTTTCC